TAGTTAATTGCGATATAGCCCGACCCATCCTCCACTGCCATGCAGGCACCTGCCATGCAGTTGACAGCGGTTGGCCTTCCGGTGTCAGGACTTCCCGGCTACGGCAGCTATGAATCGACATAGCATTTTATGGAATCCGTAAGGGCAAATTTGTACTACTTATGAGTAGAAGGATTTTAGCGAGTATTTTTGTTCGTCGCAATCAGCCGACAATTCGGATAAGTCCACTACCTATCCGGAAAAGCACCAGACGGCCGTTTCGCCCTATTGGGGCTCGTCAGTGGTGCGCATCCTTCGGTCCTCTACGGAGGATCGAACCCATGACTGCAAGTGGCTTGTGCCAACTAGCCCGTTGCGTTATGCAACTGAGCCATGGAGGACGGTAGCCGACCATCACGAATTGTTAGTTAATTGCGATATAGCCCGACCCATCCTCCACTGCCATGCAGGCACCTGCCATGCAGATGACAGCGGTTGGCCTTCCGGTGTCAGGACTTCCCGGCTACGGCAGCTATGAATCGACATAGCATTTTATGGAATCCGTAAGGGCAAATTTGTACTACTTATGAGTAGAAGGATTTTAGCGAGTATTTTTGTTCGTCGCAATCAGCCGACAATTCGGATAAGTCCACTACCTATCCGGAAAAGCACCAGACGGCCGTTTCGCCCTATTGGGGCTCGTCAGTGGTGCGCATCCTTCGGTCCTCTACGGAGGATCGAACCCATGACTGCAAGTGGCTTGTGCCAACTAGCCCGTTGCGTTATGCAACTGAGCCATGGAGGACGGTAGCCGACCATCACGAATTGTTAGTTAATTGCGATATAGCCCGACCCATCCTCCACTGCCATGCAGGCACCTGCCATGCAGATGACAGCGGTTGGCCTTCCGGTGTCAGGACTTCCCGGCTACGGCAGCTATGAATCGACATAGCATTTATGGAATCCGTAAGGGCAAATTTGTACTACTTATGAGTAGAAGGATTTTAGCGAGTATTTTTGTTCGTCGCAATCAGCCGACAATTCGGATAAGTCCACTACCTATCCGGAAAAGCACCAGACGGCCGTTTCGCCCTATTGGGGCTCGTCAGTGGTGCGCATCCTTCGGTCCTCTACGGAGGATCGAACCCATGACCGTTGGGATGAAAGCCTTATCAGATTTACAACTAAAATTCTGTTGCTAATGAGTACTATAAAAACAAATGCAATAGATATAGCATCTAGTGAGAGGACGTCAACATCTTTCAGGCTAAACACCGTCAGTGACAGTGGTATATAAGTGGTGCTAAATCCCAGCCAGTTTGTAAATTATGCAGCCCAGCCAACGTCCCCCATGGCTCAGTGGCTTAAGCTGCTGGCTAGTTAGTATTTGCCTCTAGCGGTCATGGGTTCGATCCTCCTTAGAGCACCAAGGGAATGCGCGCCACTGACGAGCCCCAATAAAGCGAAACGCGTCTGGCGCTTTTCCGGACTAGGCGCTGCTATGTAGCTTGTGAACTGTTGGGATGAAATCCTTATCCGATTTACAGCTAAAATCCTGCTACTAATGAGTACCATAGTTAGATATTTCTCTTGCAAGAGCATGAGATTACGTGTGAGTGTATATCATCTGCTAAACATTGCCACAGCTTTTCACTTGGGGAGAAATAGCCCATTATCATTATTAATATTATTATCTTTATGCGGCATATCGTTTCGACCAGAGACAATACTAACCTGGAGCCTAAATGTGCCACTGCGCTGTGTACCTTGGACGGAGCACAAATTGTGCGCTAGATACGTTACGGACTGCTCGGACAGGGGCTTAAAATTTGGCACAGGGACACCGGTTACCGGCCTGGTAAGTATACGAAGCAATGGTAACTATCGCCAACAAAAGTGTTGCTGACGGAGAACGTGCAAGCTCCTATCCTAGGATGACCTGCTACAGTCAAAGTATTGTTGGTGACTTATAGCACTGACACTCTACTCCCACTCTGTCGACCATTGACAGCAATGTGTCAACGTACTCGGGAGCATATTTGTCCCCCACAGACGCATACATCTAGCCCCGTGCTTACATCCAGGGAGGCGATTGCCTGATGTCCCATGACCAAAGAGTGTCACTGATAGCGCGTACATGTAACACCTAAGAAAAAGAATGAATTAGTGCTGACGTGAACTTGAATGCACAACATGATATGCTGATTTTTGTAACACGCTAACTTATTAGCACTATGCGTGAAGTTGCGTGTAAAAGGTATAGAGACTCTCCTCACTAGATCGAACGTGTCAAAGACACTTGGATCACAGAAATATAAAGAAACATCAACATAATCTGGAATAATCAACATACGACCGTCAACTTATCCTTTATTTACTGTCCATAAAAGCTTATGCACCTACCGTTCTCCACCATGTCACTGAGCTCCAGAGAGTCCATAGGAAGGATAGTTGAAAACTGCAGTACAAACATACGTACTGAAGGTATGCATTGTGGGCGATGGGGTTGTGAGAATATTCACCGACGGAAATTTCATTTTTCTATGCTTTATTTGTATGTTTCTGTCATACCGCGGGTAAGAAAACTCCACAATTACCCGTTGTTCTATGAGTCTGTCTCACTCACTCCTATTCATCCCACCTTCTTTTATGATTCCCCGCATACGTGTTTTCAGTTGCCTCAGATTTGTGATTAGCTTGCATTGACAATGAATTGTATGCTTATCAGTTTATCTCATACTCTGTGTAGCTCGCTCGTTCGTGAGGCACCTTATCGATCCCTCGTCTTTGAACTGACCAGTCTTGCTTGATCGAATGTCAACCCCTTCTGCATACCCCGCGTATATGCGATGATTGGAATTTTTCGGTTGATTCGTAATCATGGACGTGTAGCAGTCGGTTCGGCTCGCGGTGACTAACATTATTACAGACGGATTGCCATACGTGTTCGTATTACGATTACTGGGCGGAAGCAGTCGTGCCACCGATACAATAGTTTCAAGTCACAAAAACTTTAACAGTTTCTGTGTGCAAACAATCGCTCTCACATAACGGTAGCATACTGACTGTCGAAAAGATACAGATGCTTTTGTTTCTATCGGATAAAAAATTACCCGTGTACGTTAGTGATAAGACGCAAGGTTGTAACGATGTCATGGTTGGAGTACAATCGAAATGAGATGGTGCTATATTAACGGCGATGAAGCCATGGTGGAGAAGAATAATACATACGTTTTTGTGAAAAATCATGGTTCACCGACAACAAAACAAACCTAGAAGAGAGGTACCCAAAACGCGTTTAGGGTTAGAGCAAAAAGGTATAGCACACCTTTAATAGACTCAGGTGGAGTCAACATCCACGCACAAGGCGGTAACACCGCGCGGTGGCTACAGTGCATGTTAGCTTGCCGAGGGAGCACGTGATAAATCAGCTGTGTGTGAAGGCAATGCGCATGGGCAAGAATCACGTTCGTCTATTCCGTCAAATTTAGGGATCAGGCAAGAATTGAGTGGCTAGCGAATTCAAAGATGGCGTCTGGGGTTTGAAATGAGTCGAACGATTCTGCAAATAGGGCAAACCAGTGAAACGGAACTCGCTCACATTTGGCTGAGGGCCAGACGCCGAAGTTTAAGTGACCACGCTTTCCAAAATTAGCATGTATGGTTCATTAATAACTAGAGAAGACCTATGCTGTAGAAAATTCCTTGTCTACCAAGACTTGGGCTGTTGGTTTCCTTCGGTTGGTTGTGTGCGTGGTTGATCAGAAAGACGGTCGCAGTCTCACAGCCAAAGCAGCACAGCAGTGTAACAACCTTAAATGCTGAGATGTAGAGTTAATTAGTAACTTCAAAACGCAGATAAGCATGTTGTTGAAGATGTATCTTCTAAGAATACGTGGTGGGTATCGATAGCAACGTAATACTGGAAAATAGGTCCTTTGTGATATTCCCTAGGCAACACATTTCCCCTAAAACAATTAAAAATCGCACCTTTCACTTCCTGGACGTGACAATGAAGAAACTCGGGAGTGGCGCGTTACAACGTCACGTGCACAGGAAAGGTATGTGGAGTGGACAGTATCCGAAGTTCCACAGTTTCGTCCCACTGAAATTAAAACGGAACCTGATCCTCAGTCTAATGAGTCGAGTAGGAAGAATTTGCTCGTACGAAACGTTTCCTTTAGATCTGAAGCGCATAAGTTCGATGCTAAGAGGAGATGGTTACCCCGGCAGCTTACTGAAAGCCAACATGGGGCAAAGGAGGAAGGCTCCTGTAACCCTTACAGTCCAGAGAAAACCCATATTTCTCCAACTACCATACAAGGGAGAAATCACTGCTGAACTCATAACTGATCGCCTTCCTAGCATGTAAAATGCAAATCCAGTTAGAACTAGCTTTAAAGACAAAAGGCTTGTCCACTTCAAATTAGTGTGCATTTACTCGTTCTCCAGTTCTTGTGGGGCAGGTTACATTGGTCGAACGACAAGGCACCTGTCAAACGGGGTTGGGGAACACAATCCGGTTTGGTTCACGACTGCATGTTGAAAACCAACCAACTCATCAATGGCCACGCATCTCCTTGACAAATCCGGCTGAGTCATTCAAAGTAATCTATCAGGTACTGGATCAAAGTGTGTTCGAAGGCGGTTGCTTGAATCCATTGAGTCCATCGTGATTCCACTGTACAGTCGGTGTTGTGGGTTTAGAAACGATTCGTTCAGAGGTTAAAACTGCCTTGGCCCCACCCAAATTGTGATGTCCAGCTCAAGCCATTGTGTGTACACCACACTTGTGACTTAAGGGGTGGTGATTATTCTTGTTCAGTGATTGTGAACCGAAATAATCTTACCAACCCTTAGGTTGTGTCAGACGTTTTATTTTCTTTTTTACATATAAAGGTATAAGTCTCAGGAGAAATTAGTGAAAACATCTGTTCGCCTGTATCGACCTTTGATTGAAAATAAGTTGATTTGGAAACTGTTTGACGATCATTTGAAAATAATATACACAAAAAGAAGGATTATGTAAAGAATCCATGTGATTCACAGTACTTGAGGATACAGTAGAAAAAAAACATCACGCATCCGATACGTATCACCTGGAAATATAGAAGAAATGAAAGTGAAAAAATAAGCCACACTGCCAAAGTAATATTAAGTAAAAGGAGTCGCTGAATTAGCACATACCACATGGTTATCAGTGAAAATGAATAATAATAAACAAGCAGGATGAAAGCTCTAGATTAGAATGTGTTGGTTCAGTGCATGGGGAACACCAAACACGCAAGGTTGTCGTGACTCGGCCGGTTGAGTTACGGGTAAGGGGAGACATGCGCATAAGTCAGAATAGACAAAACCGACTAAGTTTACCAAAGATCACAGCAGCCACAAGTTGAACAGGATAAACGTGACAACGATTAAATACTCTAGTCTACGTTAAAGTGCAGATAGAAATTACCCCACGTAACATTTTGTTAGTTGGCTAGTAAAAACGGTGACCAAAGGTACCAATGTCCGCGAAGCGGAATCATGAAACAGACTGGCATTCAGTAGGCCAGATGAGAAGAAAAAAATTCCAATATCGACGAGAATAATCGTCATCGCCCTTTACGGTCAGTAATCAGCCAGGTCCAAGGCGTCAAAACCTTGTCAACAACATATCGTCACAAATACTTGGCTATCACGCAAAGATAAGGAGACATCAGCGAGGCAGTCTCCTTGAGGCTTTAACTTTCCCCGCAAAATAATCAGCCCGCACATTGTAGATACCTCGATATTATGCACAAGTGAGAGAGACAGTGAGACTGAGACGACAGCAAACGCGCCACTGATGCCGACTGTGAGCCATGTTCTTTGACATCTCAAGGCAAGCATAAGGCGGGTCACGTGAACTCCAACATATATCATCAGCGTCATCATTGCACGTGTTAGCTAGAGGTGGGAAACATCTCAGCAACTGTGCCGTAATACATAACGGAAAAAGGGAAAACGTAACAAGTGCAAGCCAGATGAGCTACCGGTAATGGATGCGCATCGTTCTGGTAAGCTACAAGCCATCTACTATGCGGCAAAAAAACAATTACCATACAAAATTACATAAGGCTAATTAATGGGATGGTGGTTGTAGAGGGAGTCTAAGTGGGATGGGGTAGGACAAAGAAACGCACAGCATGAACGCCGCTGAGGTCGGCACCTAGCCAAGGAGCCGAGACGCTCCAACTGAGGCCATCTTCGAAGTGAGGGCCTTCATTCCTCTAGACCAAGTCATCGCTTGGCCACCTCTCCTCTTCTTCCATCCACATCCCCGGCGTGCAAACAACGCACGTCGCGAGAGTCGGTGGGCTGGCATGCGTAACATGTGGCCTATCCATCGGAGCCTGGTGCATGAAATAACAGTGCTGAGCGGTTCATTTCCTTTTCTGTGCCGTAAACAAGGAGTCGTACACGCCGGTTGCTCACGCGGTGTTCCCACGTAATGTGAACAAAATTGCGAAGGCACCGGTGGACGAACGTAACTAGCTGATCTATGGTACCAGGTTTCACAACCATACGGTAGGGTCGAACGTACCGCCGCATTGTACACTCTACCCTTCAGGGCAAGACTGATGTCGCGAAGGCGCCATAAGTGGCGAAGGTTAGCAAAAGCACCTAGAGCTTTTGCTATACGGTTCGTGATCTCATCCTCAATCCCACGGGCGCTGATACAACTTCCCAGGTAGTTGAAATTTTAAACGACTTCTAGCTGATTCCCACCAACGGTCAGCGAAGGAAGCGGTCCAGGCCAAACTTTGAGGAACCCTTTGCATTTCGAGAGCGCGAAACAAAGCCCGAAATGACGGTTATGCAGTGCTAATGTGTGCAGGGCAGCTTGACATGTCTATGAGCTGTCCCAGATGAGAGCAATATCATCTGCAAACTCCAAGTCAACAAGTCGTTCACTTAGAAGTAGCTCCACATCTTCTAAGTCGCGTGCTGTAAACGCGATTTCCATGACTTCGTCAATTGCGAATTTGAAGAGAAAAGGTGACAGTGTACACCCTTGTTCCATAACGCTGGAGATATTGAAGGGCGACGAGAGCTGGCTGTAAGCCTTCACACTTGCTATTCTACGCCAGTATAGTGTGTGGATAATATTTACAAGTTTTTCGGGCACATCTTTCGTGAGTAGACAGTCCCAAAGTGCACGTCTATCCACCGAATCAAAGGCACGTTTGATGACGGAAAACATGACAACGGTGGGCCGCCAATATATGTGATGGTGCTCAAAAATGGACGCAAAGTGAAGATGTGGGCAATACAGCAAAAACATCGACCAAACCCGGCTTGATTTTTCACGAATGCCAGTGAGTCTGTGAAGGAAGACAGAGGCAACCAATTTGGAGGCGATGGAGATCAGACTGATTCCTCTATGGTTGCCGCATTCCGATGGTTAGCAAACGTTGAAAATTGGGACTATGACGGAACGGCTCCAGACGGTTGGGACAGCTTCCTGCTCTCACAGTTTCACTAGTAACTCGTACAAATCATCCACAACAGCAGGTCCCCCGAATTTAAAGAGGGCTGGAGGCAGCTCATCTGGTCCCACGGCTTTAGTTAACTTCAACAGTCTGATCTCACGTTCGACTTCTGAGCGAGGGTGGATCTAAAAGCACGGCCAAGGGAGCTGGGCGATCAGTGCCCTGGGAGAAAGCGAACGACTCCGACTGATTAAATCGTCTTTCAAAGTGCGCAGCCCAACGCTCTACACGTTTTGACAAATTGTGGATAGGCTATCAACACACTCGTCAGAAATTGTTTCACTAACATCAGATCTCCTGTTGCCCGTTTCCCGTATCAGCCGGAATAAATTACGAGGGTTACCAAGAGCAGCGGCCATTTCTATCTCTGATGCGCCATGAAACCACCAGGATTCGCGGTCTCTTCAGGCTAGCACGGAGTCGTGCCGGGAGCTTTTTGCCAGTTACATTGTGCTAGCTTCCAGCCGGAATATGCCTGAGAGTAACAATAAATTCCAGAGACTGCGAAGAGGCCCATTGTCCATGTTGGCTATTAGACTTACCACATGAGGAGTTGCCTGCTGCTAGTAAGGTCTGGTGAATATGCGACCAGTGACCTTCAGTTGTCTCCAGTGAGCCCTTACATAGCTCGCATGTCAGCGTACTTTGATAGGCATTCAGAACAGCTGACTTCGCCAGTTGGCTGGTGTCAATGCGCTCACAGCCTCGTCATGTGCGTCCGCCAAAACGCATCCGCAGGTCAGCACATACAAGTGCATGGTCGGTGTACACACCTGTGCTCCAAATCGAGCGACAGTTCTGGACGCAGACTCTCCGTAGATAACTTATCGTAATGTGATCGATTTGCGTCTACAGCTGGTTCGTGGCTGGTGAGCGCCAAGCCACTCTCCGGCGAGTGCTGTTTCGGAAGTTAGTACTCGCAAGAAATAAACGGGCATCTTCACACAAATGAAGTAACCGCTCACCGTTAACATTACGGAAGCCTACACATTGTAGACCGCCCAGATGCATTTCATCAGTGGAGAATTTTCCAACTTGAGCGCTCAGATACCAAGCCAGCACTAAAGTGTCCGAGCTTCTTCTGTGGCGAAGCAGTTTGATCAGTTGGCGGTAGAAGTCATCATTTACCGAATCAACGCTACAGTTTGTGGGTGAATAGGTAGCGATGACGAACATACATCTGTTAGTCTTGCGCGGCTTCGAAGCTTGGAACGAGCCAGCCACTTAGACCGCACACACCCGGCTATTGATTGGAATCCAATCAACTAGAGCAGCATCGGCTCGGGGACTCAGGGAAAACCCAAAACCGGCTTGGCCGGTGCTCGAAGCTGCATTGTGACCGGATAGGCGGAATGATAAAATACTGCTGGTGTCAACTGAAAGGGACGGCTTGCAAGCGAGTCTCCGATAAGCAGCAGATACCGGTCAATAGGATCTCTAATGTTCGGGTAAGTGCCGCCTGTTGACCTATCTGTAGCAATGTGTGCACATTGAGACATGCCAATTTAAAGAAGGATCGAAGGCTCCAAATGAAAGCCGATAAACTGCGCTTGACCGCTTGGTTGGACATGGGCTTGTCGACAAGACAGAAGTAACGCTCTGTGCTTGCATGTGAGTTTGAAACTAAAAGATAATCATAAAGCAAAGCAAGGTGGGGAAGGGCCAAGAATTGGGGGGTTGAAAACAGGGGGAAGAAAAGTGAAGCTAGAACGGGATGATAAGGGTGAAGAAGCGTAAGAGGGGAAATAAGAAGATGGGAAGGCTTGAGCAGCAGCATCCAAACGCCTATCCACATTGCTCGATGCAGCAGATAGGGCCCCGCAGATTATCCTCTGCGGTGGCCAGAGCATCAGGAAATCGTTTGAAAAAGGATTCATAGTATTGCGTGGAAGGATACTGTCAGGTTGCCCAGGGGTAGACAGGAGAACGATTAGGGTTCACAACCAAAGCCTCTGGTTCAAAACCTTACCGCAAGGCAGCGGGGTTTCGGCACTGGACAACAGAGAGCCCGTTTTATGGAGTAAGGAGTCATCCTCACTCCAACTTGGAGGACCAGGAGGCTGAGCTTGTTTGGCCGCTAACCATTGACCAATCTGGTATGAGTGGCTATGAAGGTGCAAAAGAGCACCACCCAGCATCGCCCAATCGATCTCTGAAGCACGCAAACCATCGCACCACGGTAAGGTCCAGCCTCATTGCGATGAACTCCAACATATAAGTTGAAACGGACCAACAGCACCTAGCTTACCGCTGCCTAGTCAACTTTTGTCCACCTCAAGCATTGCGCCACACTGTGCCCTTCAAGGCTCACCTCGTTACGCAGTGACAAGCCATACGTATTACGTGCCCAAGGCTACACAAATTATTCAATGTTTTTGTTGTTCTAGGGAACTGGCCTACTTAGCACCAACCAGTACTCGCGTAAGCACATCATCGTCGCAGAGCCGCCGTTGCCATTTGTCAACAACAAAGACCTGCGGGCAGCGATAAGCAAAGAGTTGAAAGACCCTCAGTGGCTTGAAAACGAGAAGGCTACTCGGGAAATTTAGAAAAACTAGAGGCTTCCCACTAGTATTACAGCT